GTCACTCTGGACCCCATTCTGAAAGCCCAACCCCTGCTGACACCACAGTACTCTTCTGAGCAGTATAAATTATCACAGAGAAAATAGATTCTCACACAGATTAGAGTGAACTGATATTTTGTTTCTATTAAACTTGGCTGTAAGCACGGTAAAACAGCATAAAGCAATATGTGTGTACGTAATAGCAATTATCATTCTTAGCAAGGAAACAACACATGCAGCAAAATCTCAATCAGCGCTGGCAGGCCTGCTATTCAGAAGTTAAACTAAAGCCTCAAGTCTAAGGTGTTCTTAGTCTCCAGTGAGCAAATGAAATTATTAAAAAGGTAAAGCTAGCTCACTTCGGGCCCTCGGGTCTGATGGTCCTGGGCTCCCGGTACACAGTAAGGGGGGCACACAGTGAAAATGATTGACGGCTATACAGACGCCAGATCATTTTCACTTTTCACCTTAAATCCGGGAGTTGGCTGAGAAAAATTGGTGGCTATTGCAGCCATCTGCTTGTGTTTAGCGGTCCAGCTCTTTGGACGTACTATGTCTCTCTTGAAAAGAGGAGATTAAGGGGGGATATGATCAACATGTAGAAATACATCAGTGGTTTATATAGTGAACTCGGTGTACAGTTATTCACCCTGAGGTCATCACAGAGGACAAGGGGGCACTCTTTACGTCTGGAGGTAAAGAGGCTTACTCTCCACATACGGAAAGGTTTCTTCACAGTGAGAGCTGTGAAAATGTGGAATAGACTCCCTCAAGAGTTGGTTCTGGCCAGCTCAGTGGATTGCTTTAAAAAAGGCCTGAATTATTTCCTAGATACACAGAATATAACTGGACACTAACATTTATAGGTAAAGTTGATCCAGGGAATATCCGATTACCTCTCAGGCACTCAGGAAGAAATTTTTCCCCCTGTATGAGTAAATTGGATTATGCTTTACTGGTTTTTTTGCCTTTCTGGATCAACAGTGGGAATAGGATTATAACTTTTTTTTTTTTGGTTGAACTGGATGGACTTTTTCAGCCAGACTATGTAACTATGTAATGTGTGTGGAGCACCACCCCCTTATTAGTTGCTGAGGTTTGGGTCTCCTTATAGCCCTGCACATCAAAGCAACACACATTTTCTTCCTCCAAACTTGCACACAAGACACAGTAACCAGTCCTTAGTCTTGTTTTTGTGATTTTATTAAGGGGTAATAAACGTGGATGGGGTTGAGGGATGTATGGGATGCCTAAGGGAACTGTAACTGAGGACAACTCCAGAATAACTATGTACAAGTCTCTATAATAGACCTCTTCTTGGAGAGCTCACCAGCCTCTCCTGGTGTACCACCCCAGACCCCAGATGAATCCTCTTTTCATCCAGCTGTACTGAAGGAATCCTTGATCAAGAGGTCCCAGAATCTGTCGCTTTAAGTGCACATTCCCAGAGAGGGGCTAGTTAGGTGTCCCACTGGAATGCCCTCTCCCCTTTTCAGGTCCAAGGGGTGTAGGATTACTCACTGTTCCTCACCTACAGGCATGTTGGGTTGGTGACTGCCTTCAGGCCTTCTGCTGGGCTGGCTCCTTCCCGGGCTCTACAGGTGGTCCTCTCTCTGGGGACCAATAAGGTCAAGTGATCCTTCTTTCCAATTCCAACCTGGAGGTATGCTTCTTCCCACTGGCCCCCCTCCAGGCTCCTGCATACAATCCTCTCACCCCATCTTCCACCCGAAGTCTCCTGCTGCTGAGCAGGCTTAGTCGCACTTAAGGGCTGCCCTAGTCCCATGCCAAGCCTCCTGCCAGGGGATTGGCCAGAGTCCCTTAAGTGTGCAGATCAGTCCCTCCTCATCCCCACCCACTGCCTTCTAGAAACTTCTCAAGTCTCTAGAGCAGGTGGAGGTATCAGGTAACAGATAAAGGAATTTCAAACAACAGGAACAAAGGATTTTCAAACAAAGTATGGAGAGCTGGACACTGCCACGGAGAACATCTACAAATATAAATTACAAAAAAATTAAAAAATGGAGGGCACTCTTTTTTATGTGACTTTCAGGGAGTCATGGAAAAACATCATTCCTTCAAATGATGTCCATGCCTTTAAAGTGCAACTTTAGTCAGAAAATTAAGTCCTGCTAGATCACTTCAGGCTGGCCCCTTTTGCAGGTATAGGTAAAACTTTAAAAATAAGTGTCTGTACTGTTTAAAATACATGAATACACTTTCTCACTCTGCTCTGCACATGTTCAGTTGCTTTCTTTTTTTTCGGCACTGTGCTGAATTTGTAGGACCAATCTGCTGACAGGCTAAAGATTTACTGCTACTCAGGGCTTCAGCAAAATGGCAGCCTCCAGCAAGAAGAGACAGGAACAATTCTGGAGGCAATTTACAGCACACACTAATTTTGGTAGCATAATTATTAATGTGGAATGTATGTTCCTTGCTATAGAACATTATTTTTATCAAAATGTTATGGGTAAAGTTCCACTTTAAGTTGTACTTGATGTAATGAAAGAGTACAATTCTCACGAATGGCATCAACAACTGGCATCACATAATTTGTGTCAATTATTATTTTTTGTTTTTGTGTTTTTCCTTGACTTTTATACAGCACCCCAATCAATAAGAATTGCTCATTGAAGTGACAAACATACTCTTACATTATCATATAGCACATGCTCCTGTAACCTAAACACTTTACGATTAACTGGAAATCTTGTTTGAGTCCCATGAAAGCATGAATTTTTAGCTCTGATAACACCTGGGTTCATCTGGAGGAGGACATTTGATACAGGTTCAAATGTATATAAAAAAACACGCCTGGCAAAAATGTCTACCAGCAACTCCTTTCGAGTCTCATACAAGGTAAAGAATGTGAACGGTCATATTATTCAGTGACTGGGGCTGCTCCTTGATCTCACCTAAAACAAATTTAGAGTGCAGTATATATAAACTCTATAATGCTAATTTAATATAAACTTTAACGTGCGAATGCCATGATTCTACTCACTTGGCTTGCAGTTTGTGGTGCAATCCCTTTTGGAATATTTTTTTCAAAAAGCAGACATTTGCAAGGCAGCAGGATCGCCTTCTGAATGCATGCCAGTCACTGCTATTCCAACCTTGGAAAAATGATCCACCACAGATTGGGAAGAGATTTACTAAGGGTTCTAGGGCAATTACAAAGCTTTACTTGAGGTTTGAGAGCAATGACATACTGGCACGTAAAGTCCCATAGCAATAACACACCAAGGGTTGGGGTCCAGAGCTTTGACACAGACAATTGGAATTACAGGACAATGACACACTGATGCTTGGGGTCCCAAAGCAATGGCCCAGTGATGCTTGGGGTCTCAGAGCAATGATGTAGTGGGGGTTATTTACTAAAACTGAAGAGGGCAAATACGGGGTAGCTCTGCATAGAAACCAATCAGGTTTTATTGTCAAAGCTTAATTGAACAAGTTGAAGTCAGGTTTTAGTAAATAACTCAACTGTGGATGAGTTACTAAATCTGGAAAGTGCAAAATCCAGCACAGCTGTGCATGGTAGCCAATCAGCTTCTAACTTCAGATTTTTCATTTAAGCTTTGACAGAAAAACCTGGAAGCTGGAAGCAGATTGGTTTCTATGAAGAGCTGCCCCAGAGTTTACACTCTCCAATTTTAGTAAATAACCCGCATTGCGTCATTACCCTGAGACCCCAAGCATCATTGGGGGTTCCAAAACAATGATACATTGATGCTTAGGGTTCCAGAGCAATGAAACAGTAATGTTTGGGGTTCCAGTGCAATGACACAGTGATGCTTGGGGTTCCATAGCAATGGCAAAGTGACACTCCAGGTTGTGAGAAATAATAGAATGACCACTGGAATCCCAGAGTAATAGTAGAATGACACTTGAGGTTTGCATCAAGGGCAAAGCAACATTCAGGGTTCTAAGAAATGACATTTGGGATTCCAGAATAATGACAGAATCACCTTTGGGGCTCCAAAGCAATGACACAGTGATACTTGCAGTTCCAGAGCAATGGCACAGTGATGCTTGGGGTTGTAGAGTAATGATACAGTGGTGCTTGAGGTTCCAGAACAAAGACATGGTGATGCTTTGGGTTCCAGAGCAATGGCAGAGTGATGCTTCGGGTTCCAGAGCAATGGCACAGTGATGCTTCGGGTTCCAGAGCAATGGCAGAGTGATGCTTCAGGTTCCAGAGCAATGGCACAGTGATGCTTGGGATTGTAGAGTAATGGCACAGAGATGCTTTGGGTTCCAGAGCAATGGCACGATGATGCTTGGGGTTGTAGAGTAATGACACAGTGGTGCTTGAGGTTCCAGAACAAAGACATGGTGATGCTTTGGGTTCCAGAGCAATGGCAGAGTGATGCTTCGGGTTCCAGAGCAATGGCACAGTGATGCTTGGGATTGTAGAGTAATGGCACAGAGATGCTTTGGGTTCCAGAGCAGTGGCACGATGATGCTTGGGGTTGTAGAGAAATGACACAGTGGTGCTTGAGGTTCCAGAACAAAGACATGGTGATGCTTTGGGTCCCAGAGCAATGGCAGAGTGATGCTTGGGATTGTAGAGTAATGGCACAGAGATGCTTTGGGTTCCAGAGCAATGGCACGATGATGCTTGGGGTTGTAGAGTAATGACACAGTGGTGCTTGAGGTTCCAAAACAAAGACATGGTGATGCTTTGGGTTCCAGAGCAATGGCAGAGTGATGCTTCGGGTTCCAGAGCAGTGGCACAGTGATGCTTGGGATTGTAGAGTAATGGCACAGAGATGCTTTGGGTTCCAGAGCAATGGCACAATGATGCCTGGGGTTGTAGAAATGACACAGTGGTGCTTGAGGTTCCAGAACAAAGACATGGTGATGCTTTGGGATCAAGAGCAATGGCAAAGCAGCACTCCAGGTTGTGAGAACTGACAGAATAACACTTTGGATTTTGTATCAAGGACAAAGCAACACTCGGGGTCCCGGTTTTGAGTTGTGATCTCTAGCAAACAGAGTTGACATCACAATTAAAACATTTAATCTGTCAAACACCTGTTTTCTTTTACAGTAAGATCTTCTGGTTCTATGGTGACACTGCTGTTGGTGACCCGAACTCCATACCAACCAGCCCAGAACTGCGTGTCGCTCCCACCATGCTGAAAATATATGTAGCGCACTCCTGGTCCATAGTATCTAAACCTACACATCATCTTATTAGAAAAAAAAAGAAAAAGGAATTATTCTCAATAGGCAATTAACTAAAAACACCTTTAGTGAGCACACATTATACACACACATTATACATAAGCCGTTGTTCTGGATGTGATACAAAGGATGATACAAATGATTGTATATCATATACGGATATGCAGATCCCCCCTCTGCATGTTAGACATTACAGTCAGATTTATTGTTGCAGGCATGCCAAGATAAAATATACTACAAGATAAGTTACCTACGTATTGCATTGCTGCCCATCAGCCTGAGGCTGAATTGACTGGCCCTATAAGATCTTGAGGCTGTATAAGGCATTGTAGTGTTGTCATACCTGCTGCCAACAGGCATCGCTCCATTGCTCTATGAGCACTTTTTCTGGGGAAAATTCCTTTATGATTGTCTTCTTTTTAGAAAGTAATCGAACCACCAACTCATACTGACAGCCGCAATCCCTCCTCGCTGCATACCTGAGGGGGGGAGAGGTTAGTGAATGTTAACATGAAGACTATCCACTGTAGACACACAACTGTTTCCACATACTGTATATAATGTGACAATGTTTCCCAATGTGACTTTTTGTATTCGGTAGGCCTTTGGATGGTTGCAGCGGAGTGTCAGAAGATCCACCACACTATGACGTATTAGAGAAAATTAGAGGCAAATTAGAAAATGAAAAAGTACAGAAATGTTCTTAAAAATTAATTCACCATGTAGACAGGGCCTATTCAGTGTTCCTGAACACTGATAGTGTAGCACCCTCCTAGATAGGTGCTACCATTGGGGAAATTTAGTTCTGGCTCACTGTATCCAGTGGAGCTGAATTCTTGTTGTTAGGTGAATTTAGTTTTGAGCTCACTGTAATCAGTATGGCTGCTTGTGATTGTTTAGGCCTGTTCTGTATTTTATAGGCTGCAGATTACTCTGGATCTGGATTACTCTTCCTGTAATACAGAACTCTCTGGGTGGTCCTGGAACATTGGTGTGGAGTAAGGCAAATGAGCAGCGTGAATATTTATACTGTCCCAGCCAGAGGCGGACTGACCATTTGGAAACTCGGGCACTGCCCAAGGGCCCGGGGTCAGTAGGGGGCCCCATGAGATGCCCCTGGTACCTTTTTATAGGCTTTTTTGAGTTTGGACAAGGACACAGGGGCCCCATGATCCCCTATTGCCCGGGGGCCTCATGAGTTGTCAGTCCGCCCCTGGTCCCAGCCAATCCCTGCGAGAGGGATGGGTGCTGGGAAAGTATATAAATAAGCTGAGACTTGGCCCAGAAGTTAGCCAATCATCTAAAGACATTCATGAGTACAGACAATTTTGAGAGGTGTAGGAGACCTGGAGCCTGGGTGTTGTTGCTGCCCCTCTGTGATGTTGAGGAGTCAGCTGTGTGTAAAGAGTTATTGTGTGTGGAATCCTGAAGAGCGTAGTCTATTTAATTCTTGGTGAAAGGATTCTGCTTGGACTGTTCAGAGAGGAGTACTTAAACACTTAGTCCATCCACTTTATTTGTGCAAGGACTTTGCTCATAATTCTACAGAAGAAAAAAGTGTCCTTATTTCTACAAAGTTTTGGAGTAACCCGCTCAATTTTCATATTCCCATCCAAGTTACCCAACAGTCTTGGACTGTTCATTGAGCCAAAAGAGTGACTGAGACTGTGTGCCTGGCTACGGGGCCACTATTGGGAGAAAAAACCCTGGCCATCTTTTTAGTGACTCCTTTGGGGGTAGAGCTACAAGAGGAATCACCACACAGGGTTACTTGAACACCGATTATATATTGTAAAAATTGCGCAGGCACAAACAAGGCAGTTATAACAATGGTACTACATACATTATGTAGTAGACTATATAGTCCTTCAGGTAGATAAAGTAATGTTTATAAGTGAGGACGTTTTCCAGCAGTGGTATGTTACACCTGTACAGACTAGAGGATGCCAAAGGAGCACTTTCCTTGGAGGGGTGGTGGTATTATTGAACCATACTGCAATCCCCTAAATTCTATGAAGATATTCAGTTGCCAGTAGGAGACTGTTTCGGGAAGTTGGCAGAGGATCTCCAAAGCCATGAAAAGGTGGATTACTTTTGCATTTGCACAGCAAGTTTCCCCTGTACATTGTATCCAGGGCCAGACTTTGTTTTTTCCCTAGGCCAGCTACCTAATGCCATTCCCCACTGCCCAACAGCTGTCTTGGAGGCGGTTATACCCTCCATCCCAACCAAGGCACCCAAAAGACCCTTGTCCACATAAACATGACAAAATAATCATCAGCAGATTTGATGAAACATTTCTTGTCTATACTGGAAAACAGAATTGCCCAAAGAATTTGACAAGTAAACACTTAAGAAATAACTTGTCAGTAAATGATCATTATTTAATAAATGTATCCTCAGAAACAAGATTTGTTGCATTATAACACAGCCAGTAACAAGTCTGCAGAGATACAATCTGTACTGTAATGACATAACCAACAATGTGTTTAGAGAGAGACCATCGGCCGGCCCTGTCACCGCATGCTCTTCTCTCAATCTTCATTCCTGTCCTTCGCTCAGCAATTTTGGGAGAGAGGAGCAGGAGTAACTGGAGATGGAGCAGTTTCTGGGTGGATCTGTGGTAGGTATGGGAGTTGTGAATGTGCATAGACGAGTGCAGGAGAAGGGGAGGAAGGAGTATTACCCAACAGGCTCTTTAAGCCTATAAGTAGCAAATACCAGCATGAAGATAAAATGACTTTGTAGCCGTGTTGCCCTAGGTCATGGCCTATGTGGCCTATTGAGAAGTCCGGCCCTGTAGATATATCAAGGAATAAGTCTTTTTACCAGTCTTTGATGACAATGTCTGGTTGAATAGTGTCCATAAATTCAGTGCTGTACCCCATTTTCTTCAGGTCAATCAGCTGAGACTTCTTGCAAGTCCTGTAAAGATCAAAATGTTTAATAAATTTCACTAGACTCTACAGCGGCTCTCTGGTGGTGCTAGACTCTGACATGGGCTAATGTCTCCCTCATCCAATTGTCTGACAACTGTCACCTTGATATGAAGTATGGGGAAATAACAGATACACCGACAATTCAGCATTTCCTCTGGGATTAGAGTGAGATTAAAGGCTTATTTTTTTTTTTTTTTTCAAAATAACAAACATGTTACACTGAACTGCTCTGTGTAATGGTTTTGCACAGAGTAACCCCGATCTTCCTCTTATTTGGTCCCCCTACCTGCACTCTGGGCTCTTCCACCCTGCCGAATGCTCCCATAGCAAGCCACTTGCTATGGGGGCACTCATGCAGCCAACCCCTGCTCTCTCCTCACTTGTTGTGATTGAGCCAATGAGGAGGCAGAGAACCAGGACAGCAGCCGCTCTCATGCACAGTGCTGGATCGAGATGGGGCTCAGATAAGTATTAGGAGGGCTGTGAGGTGGGGCTGCATACCAAAGGTTTTTTTACCTTCATGCATAGAATGCATGAAGGTAAAAAAAAAAACTTCAGGTTTTACAACCACTTTAATATAATAATTTCCCTTGAGATCAATATTCTGAATCTGAATAAAAAAATCCTAACAGAAATTCTAAGTCGCTATATACAACTACTTTAATTCCTTAACCAGGTTTGCAACTAGCTAGCTACGATAAAAAAATACATACAAAGAAAAAAAAACAATGCTTACATCATTGTTATATGCAAATAAAGTGACCCTAAACTGGACTATGCTTATTTAAACTTAAGACGGCCACAGACGGTTTGAATCTAGGCCATTTCAGCAAGAACCAGCCAAGATTTGAACCATATGGACAGGCTGAATGTTTCCAAGTTGATAAGCTTGGGTACAACAAGCCCGTCAGATTTTACTGTTCATATTTTTCTGGACTATCCTGGTTCTCCTAATCCCAGTGTGTTGATTGCCTGTTACTGTTGAGGAGGTTCCAGTAATCAGACTAGGAAGGACAATCGCTAATCAAATTCATATTTATCTGATCCAACCAATCCCTTAGGTCTTTGTTGAGAAGTAAGGTTTGAGGAGATGATAGAAGTTCTGAACGCCTTTCGAAAGTGTTCTCTGTTCACCTCCTGGAAGTCTGGAGAGGATGCCTGTATAGAGTGACTTTATTTGGCCCTTGCATCAGCCTGGGACATGTGGAGGTCAAGGACTTTAACTAACTTGCTGGAGAGGATATCTTGGGGGCAGCTGGGATAAAGGATGGCTACCTGGAAGGAGCAGAGAAGCTACTTCTAGACACTGAGAAGAAGGCCTAATTCACGATTGATTACCTGTGTGCCCCGTGCAGAGCCATGTTTTGCCGGCACAGGGATGTACATGTGTTGCATGCATTCTTGTGCCAACAATTCCATAGATGTCTATCAGGACAAGTGACTGGCTGGACACAGCGGCTGTGTTCCAATGTAACATCCTTGCAGGGTTCAGGTGCAAGTCCTGGGTGCATTTTGGGCCACGCATTCACACCCACATTGGGACACAGCAGTTGTGCCCATTCGGCCATGTGTCTCAATAGACATCTATGGGACTACTGACATGGGGAAGCATATAACACTTGTGAATCCCTGTCACCAAAACACGGCCCTTTATGGGACACACAAGCAATCACCCATATGACCGAGGTCAAAGATTCATTGCATACACATCAGCATATCTTTTACTGCTCTCAGAGGGTTGATCACCAAACCTATTAGAAAGTGATGCACTGCAATTTAAAGAAAAGACTATGACCACTCTTAAAGGATTATAAATCTGAATGGCTGCTGTCCCATGGCCACCTAATCACTTCCCTGGCAACAGTTGCACACGCCTCAAGTGCCCCTGTCATATTTCCCAGGCTCCACGCTTTCATCAGTGGTGGGTGCTGACAGAGGGGTGGGAGATCAGCGAATGTCTGTTATTATTATTATACAGTATTTATAAAGCGCCAATAGTTCGCTCAGCGCTGTACATTACAAAGGGGGACAGAACAATAACAATACAATGCAAAACATGAGGGGATCGAGGGCCCTGCTCTTTCGAGCTTACAATCTAGGGTCTGTTGAAGATAAACCCAGAAGTGATGTGTAAAATGTCACTTTAGAGGCTGGCTGCCAATTTCTGTGGATGGGGAAGAAGCTAATGGGGTGCAATCTGTGCTCCATTAGCTTCAATAGAGGGCAGGTGAGACATCAGTGACAGCCAGACTGAAGTGTTGCAATTGATAAACCATTGTGCTGATCAGGGGCGGACTGACAACTCAAGGGGCCCCCGGGCAATAGGGGATCATGGGGCCCCTGTGTCCTTGCCCAAACTCAAAAAAGCCTATGAAAAAGGTACTAGGGGCATCTTATGGGGCCCCCTACTGACCCCGGGCCCTCGGGCAATGCCCGAGTTTCCAAATAGTCAGTCCGCCCCTGGTGCTGATATTGTGTGACATAAAAAATAAGTTAACTACCACTGTTTTATTCTCCAGGGTGTTTACTATCAGAAATGAAAAAGTAAGGGGTTTTAAGTAATCTTTAGACCTATGTTTTTTTAATCATGTGTGCAAAAATCCACATTAAAACAACCTCGGCAGTGTAAGGGTTAAAGGGCGTACTACTTCCTACTTTTGGGTATCCTACACCCTTAAACCCCTTTCCCAGAATAAGTTCAGCAATATAAAAAATTAGAAGGACATGACCTTGAGATGGAACTGTTAGCCTGCCACATGATATAGGGGTTTTTTCCACACCACCCCAAGAGGAGAGCTATGTAAAAAAAGGAAAGGACAGCTTACTCATAGGAAGTCACAAAGTATTTGGTGAGAGTCCCATCTAGGATCTGTTCTCCTGAATCTCCAGGCAAATCTTCTACCTTCCAAAGATCACCGCCATTTTCCTCTATCGTCCATGCATTAAATTGCTCTATAATAGAAAAATAAAAATAAGATACAAATTATAGGTATGTTTTAAATAATGTCTGTTAATGTGAAAGTTTCACCTAATAAAGTGTACCTGTGCATGCAGCAGCTCACTAATTTAAAGAACATGTCATCTCTAGCAGTGAACTCCACCTATGGGCTCTCTTTGTCTGTTAAATATACAGTTGAAAGTGTTTTGTTATATTTGTTCCTATAACTGTAGAAAAAAAAAAAAAACGTTCAATCCTGCCACAAATCTAGTAAACTAATACCTTCCTGTACTCTGTGCCTCTGCTGTACTACTAGCAGTTTACATTGTTGACAGTTCTCTCTGTGGACTACAGAACACCCCCCTACTATGTTTTGAAGATGAGGAAAGGGGGAGTTCTGTAGTTCTGACAAATTTCCTGTCCTAAATTGATAATACTGCTCTACTATATAAACAATATAGCAAGTGAATGGTTACATGCTAGGACAAAAAATATACTACTAGCAAGATCACTAGGTGAAAATATAGTAAAAGAAGATTAAAAAAAAATACTAATGCAGCCACTACATCTAAGGAATTGTAAGCTGCAATATATTACATTTTTGTTTATGTTTAGGGAAAAAAAACATTCAGTACAGCTCCGCAATACATGTAGATTATACATTAATGTGTTACTAAGCCCCGGACCCTGCAATCACTAGATCTGGTCTCCCCGGACCCTGCAATCACTAGATCTGGTCTCCCCGGACCCTGCATTCACTGTGTCTGGTCTCCCCGGACCCTGCATTCACTGTATCTGGTCTCCCAGGACCCTGCATTCACTGTATCTGGTCTCCCCGGACCCTGCATTCACTATATCTGGTCTCCCCGGACCCTGCATTCACTATATCTGGTCTCCCCGGACCCTGCATTCACTATATCTGGTCTCCCCGGACCCTGCATTCACTATATCTGGTCTCCCCGGACCCTGCATTCACTATATCTGGTCTCCCAGGACCCTGCATTCACTATATCTGGTCTCCCAGGACCCTGCATTCACTATATCTGGTCTCCCCAGACCCTGCATTCACTATATCTGGTCTCCCCAGACCCTGCATTCACTATATCTGGTCTCCCCGGACCCTGCATTCACTATATCTGATCTCCCTGGACCCCGCATTCACTATATCTGGTCTCCCCGGACCCTGCATTCACTATATCCACTCTCCCAGGACCCTGCATTCACTATATCTGATCTCCTCAGACCCTGTATTCACTATATCTGGTCTCCCAGGACCCTGCATTCACTATATCTGATCTCCCCGGACCCCGCATTCACTATATCTGGTCTTCCCGGACCCTGCATTCACTATATCTGGTCTCCCCGGACCCTGCATTCACTATATCCGGTCTCCCAGGACCCTGCATTCACTATATCTGATCTCCCCGGACCCCGCATTCACTATATCTGGTCTCCCAGGACCCAGCATTCACTGTATCTGGTCTCCCCGGACCCCGCATTCACTATATCTGGTCTCCCAGGACCCTGCATTCACTATATCTGGGTCTCCCCGGACCCGGCATTTACTATAGCTGGTCTCCCCGGACCCTGCATTCACTACATCTGGTCTCCCCGGACCCTGCATTCACTATATTTGGTCTCCCAGGACCCTGCATTCACTATATCTGGTCTCCCCAGACCCCGCATTCACTAGACCTGGTCTCCCCAGACCCCGCATTCACTAGACCTGGTCTCCCCGGACCCTGCATTCACTATATCTAGTCTCCCAGGACCCTGCATTCACTATATCTGGTCTCCGCGGACCCTGCATTCACTATATCTGGTCTCTCCGGACCCTGCATTCACTATATCTGGTCTCCCACTGTACACACAACATGGAAGTGCATTTATTTTAGTAAATATAAACTGCTAAATACCTTTTCTCACCAGTCCTATCTGTTTCCAGCTCAGCACTAGCTAAAGCTTGTAGGAGGAGTTTTCTTTCTGCTCTAGGAGGATGCAGAACCCCTGACCTCTGTCTGGACAGTGCTGACTGGCCCTGTGCAGATCACATGCACTCTCCCAAGAAAAAAAAAAACCTCTCTAGCAATATACACCAAACTGAGCATGTGCATGCCTACGGTTTAGTCTGGAGATAAGTGGTGGAAAAGGGGAGTAACAGAGAAGAAAGGATCAAACAGCCTTTTTACACAATGCAGAGGATTAACCCCTTATGTTCCACAGTGAGTATAACAAGCATGCTTTACTTCATATACAGACTGATTTTACTGTTGTGGGTTTAGTGACACTTTAAGTGCCTGTTCACACCGGTGCGATTTCATGTGCGATTAGAGAATTGAAATCACACCTGAAATCGCATCTAATGAATGTGAATGTCAGTGTCTTACACCCCGATAACACCAAACCCATCTCTGAAATCGTGCGACTTACAATGAAGTTGCACGATTTCAAAGTCAGATGAGATGCTGATTTCAGGTACGATTTGTAAGACATCTGACACACCAAAAGTAGTGCATGTACGACCTTAGAAATTGGTGCTGTAATTGAAATTGCGAACAATAGGGTGCGACTTGGCATGCGATTTGCAAGTCGCATGGCATGCAAATCACATGCCAATTCACATCTAGTGTGACCAGGGTGGAAATGTGCGATTTGCTGCGGCGTGATTTCTAAAGTAGTTCTTGCATTACGTTTTCTGCAGTAGAATGGGTTAGGCACAGGACTGCTTGGATTTCTTGACAGTGTAGTTGCCTTAGAAGCCACTAGAGGTCCCCAAAGATAGGATGCTAGTAGTAGGCAGGGGGCACAATGAGTTAAAATGGTTGTAAACTTCAGACATGAAATATGAACAAAGCATATCCCTCTATAGCAGGGGTCCCCGAACTGTGGCCCAAGGGCCAGATGTGGCCCTTTGCTTGCCTTTAATTCTTTCATTTAATTGCCTTTAAACAAGATGTCACTTCCTGACATCATTGTATACTACGTGTGAAACTTGTGAATGATCACAGAGGTCACATGGACAAGGCTATTCACAACAGCCTTGTACCATGTGACAAGCTGTGACCAATCACAGCTCTCACAGTATTTCTCAATGGCTGCAAGAATGCATCCAGAGAGAAAGAGAAATGATTGCTTTTACAGCCTTTATGGGTATTTAAAAAAAAATAATTCATCAACCACCACAAGTAGTACAGTGTCACTATGGTGACACTGTACTGCTAGGGTGACAGTATGTAAAAAAAAAACCCAAAAAATACATAAATAATATAAAAAAATAAAATAAAAATGTAAAAACAAAATTTAATAAACTAATTTGGGTTATTTTTTTTTTTACTAAAAAGATACATTTTGGCCAAGATTTATGAAGAAAGATTATTTATTTGCAAAATTCTATTAGAAAAACACTTTTTTTTTCAAAATTGTTGGTCTTTCATTTATATAGCAAAAAAATAAAAATCCCAGTGATGGATAAATACCACCAAAAGAAAGTTTTATCTGTCTCAACAAAATGCTAAAAAATTCATATGGGTACAATGTTGCCTGACTGTGCAATTGGCATTCAAAGTGTGATAGCGCTGAAAGCTGAAAATTGGCCTGGACTGGAAGGGGGTGAAAGTGTCTGGACATGAAGTGATTAAAAACGCAAGTTTTTCAGTGTTTATTTAGCATTTTTGCATTAGCGTTTAGCTGTGTTTTTTCACGTTTGCGTTTTTAGTGTTTTTACCGGAAAAAAAAAATTTTTTTTGCTCAAAAAAATTTCCAAAAACATTGGTTGGCCACGTTTTTCAGCATTAGAGCATTTTTACAGCTAAAAACCTCCTCTAGTTCTGGGGTTTTTTCCAGCCAAAAATTGTCCCTGCTAAAAAACGCTGAATAAAGCCTATGTGTGTATGGACACATAGGAGAACATGCTGGGGGGTTTACTGGCTGTAGAAAAAATGCAAAAAAGCCAAAAACAGCCGCTGTAAAAACATCCCGTGTGCATGAGGACCTAAAGTTACTGAGAAGTCCACTATCATCAAACCGCTCACCCAGCGCACATGGATTTTGGATCAGGTTCCTCTTGCGGCTGGACAGGTAGTAGAAGATCTTCCAGTCTTTGGGATGTTTCTGGCAGTCTTTGGTGATGTAGCCCGCACGCTGACATTTTAGCTTCCACAGTGTCGCAGAATCGATGACTTCCTTCCACTGACTACAGACCTGCCGGCAGCGACGGATCAGATCCACAGCCGGGACCAAAGCTAGAATCTCCAGCAATACGTCTTCTGGCAACATGTTAAACCTCCCCAGGCTGCATGAAACAAAAACACGACATTGCTGATGGTTCATAAAATACAACGGCCGCCCAATGGTGTAGGAATGTGGCCAGGTAGGGCTGGGGTCTTGGGTTCAATTCCCACCAGGGACCAGCTTATGAACCGCCCTCCCACGACACCATATGTACAATCATGGCGACTTTTCCTCTTGTTAGTAAACTAGACTTGGAATAATCAAGCAGAGCAGCAAGCATGTGACAGCAGGTGACAATTCTGGGTGTGGGCTTTAAAATCAAATGTGACTCCAGTCCACCCAACATCAGCAAATTCCTTCCAGAGCATGAAAGCCAGTGATTCCTGTTACCTGTCCTGTTGTCTTACATCCAGGGTCATCTATACAGATCATAGGGTCCTATTGCAGAATCTAGTGACCTCCCGGCTTTCATTGATCCAAACATTAAAGTGTTACTAAACCCACAACAGTAAAATCAGTCTGTATATGCAGTAAAGCATGCTTGTTATACTCACTGTGGAACCTAAGGGGTTAATCCTCCGCATCGTGTAAAAAGGCTGTTTGATCCTGTCTTCTCTGTTCCTCCCCTTTTTCAAGCGACCACCATTTATCTCCAGACTGAACCGTAGGCATGCACATGCTCAACTTGCTATATATTGCTAGAGAGGTTTTTTTTTTTTCTTGGGAGAGTGCATGTGATCAGCACAGGGCCAATCAGCATTGTCCAGACAGAGGTCAGGGGGTCTGCATCTTCCTAAAGAAAGAAAACTCTTCCTACAAGCTTAGCTAGTGCTGAGATGGACACAGATAGGAGGCACAAGACTGTTCTAACTTCTGATGAGAAAAGGTATTTAGCAGTTTATATTTACTAAAATAATTGCATTTCCATGTTGTGTGTACTGTGGGAGACAGATATAGTGAATCCTAACCAGGGGCGGACTGACCATTTGGAAACTCGGGCACTGCTCGAGGGCCCGGGGTCAGTAGGGAGCTCCATGAGATGCCCCTGGTACCTTTTTCATAGGCTTTTTTGAGTTTGTGCAAGCACACAGGGGCCCCATGATACCCTATTGCCCGGTGGCCCCATGAGTTGTCAGTCCGCCCCTGATCCTAACATTACCGGGCACTCCCTTTGGGGACAGACCTGGAAAGCAGAAAGTGCAGGATCTGGAGGAGGAGGACCAGAGGAGGAGTGGAGTCACCAGAGTCTGCTGAATGCTGAGATGAGGGGGTGCTGCAGCTGCACTGAGAGGTGCAAGGTTTGGCAGAGGAGTTCTATTCTCCTCTCTGTTACCAACTGCTGAGACAAGCTGGGGGCAAAGCCAAGGGGGTACCTACAGGAGAGGTGCAAGGGCCACATGAAATGGCCTGGACGGCCTTGTGTTTGACACCTGTGCAGTAGAGAGAGGAACTGATATTGGTCCTTACTCTGTGAGATCAGGAACTGAAAGTGATGCAGATTTAGTCACTTCTGATTTCGGTCATGTGTTTACTGACCGGTTTCTGGCCACTGAAGCAGCCGTTTAGACCGATCTGTGTGTGATCAGCTGCACTGGTGGCCAGAGGAGAGATCTGGGGTCTAACAGACCTCCAGATCACTCCATAAAGAGGATCTTATAGTAATAACAAGTGCAGCACTAAATATCCAGTAATAATGTGCACGTTTAAAAACTCATATTAAAACTCATAATATCATTCAAGATGAAATGTGCAAAAATTAAGGTGCTAATAAAGTAAAGTGCTGGTAAAGAGGAAATATTCAATCTTAATGTAAACAAGTGAGAAAACAATGTCCATAAATAGTGGCAATAAGTGAAGGTCCTTTTAAACGTGATCTTCAAGTGGTGTTCCTTGTGCGAAATATGATCATTCGGTGATGTGCCAGGGATATAGTAAAATTACGCACTCACCAGATGCGCATTTACAATACGCATGTGTATATATATATATATATATATATATATATATATATATATATATATATATACATATATAATGTGGTCAGCCGGAGGTCCCATTAAGTGTGAACACAGCCTGGTCAGGAATCCCCTTCCTCTGGTTTACATCCAGTACCGCAGTCGTCCTCCATAATGGGCTCTGTGGATTTTTTCGCCCCTCTTTTTCCTGTCCAAGCAGTGGGCGTGCTATAAAGAGGCCTCTATACCACCTGTCCTGTGGAATATCTCTTGGACAACAACACCCGGTATTCCTCCATCATGCAACCATGGACAGGCTGATCCCCCGACTAACACACTGCAGGGCCGGGCTCACAATACAACGCTGTTGTTTTGTCATTGTTTACATGAAGATTGTTTTGTTTTGTCACTGTTTTTTGTCATTGTTTTGTCACTTGTTTACATTAATTGTTTTGTCACTGTTTACATTAAGATTGTTTTGTCACTGTTTACATTAAGATTGTTTTGTCACTGTTTTTTGTCTGTTTACATTAAGATTGTTTTGTCACTGTTTTTTTTGTCATTGTTTACATTAAGATTGTTTTGTCACTGTTTTTTGTCATTGTTTACATTAAGATTGTTTTGTCATTGTTTTTTGTCACTGTTTCCTCACTTGTTTACATTAAGATTGTTTTGTCACTGTTTTTTGTCATTGTTTTGTCTCTTGTTTACATTAAGATTGAATATTTCCTCTTTACCAGCACTTTATCAGCACCTTAATTTTTGCACATTTCATCTTGAATGATATTCTGAGTTTTAAAATGAGTTTTTAAACGTGCACTTTATTACTGGATATTTAGCACTGCACCTGTTATTATATGGTTCTGGAGCTAATTTGGTTGCCTTTTTGGTGCTATAGCAGCTTGGTTTTAGCACTCGCTTGTATGTTTGTTTTTCATAAAGAGGACCTGTCACGGCCCATGTTATCACAAGGGATGTTCATCCCTTATGATAGCAATAAGCCCTGGTACACCCTAGCATGTGACTTTTCCATACGTCTTCCCAGCGACACGGTGCGACTTCAAAGCCACGTTACTGATAGGAAGCATTTCTAAATGACTTTAACCTCTTTCCTGCCGAAATATAGCAGAAATACTGCTACACCGCAGCAGGGCTGCAAAAAATCATGTATATAATTTTAGAGCTTGACATGTTAGGCATCTATTTACTTATCTTTTATATTTTACCAAACAATTGTGTATTATATTGTGTCTGTGGTCACTAAAGTTCATTAACCACTTCCTGACCGCCATATATCAGAAATACTGCTACAGGGCAGCACGGGTGCGCAAAATCACGTATATATATGTGATTTTGCATTTATGGGTAGGGGGCGTGCGTACCTGCGCCACCATTTGCGGATGTGGTTGTCAATCACTGGGTCCCGGCTGATGATTACTTGCCAGCGCCCGGTGATTGTCAAGGATCTCCAATGGGGAGAACTGTATGTAAAGAGTACTGTTCTCCTCCCTGTTGGCTCATGCACACTGCCTTGGATGGGTGCAGTGTTGAATGACCGTGCAATTGTCAGTTAAAGTAATGCAGCGCTGTAACACAAACCGCTTCTGTAACCGATCCTGACCGCCCTATAGCAGAAATACTGCTACAGGGCAGCATGGGTGCACAAAATCACACATATATATATATATATATATATATATATATATACGTGATTCGCGCTCCCGCAGTTTTCACGCCCCTCCCAGATAGCATCAGATTGCCTGTCAGTACACCAAAAATTTGCAGATGTCTATACTAATGTCTAAACATCTGCGTTGATGAGTTCCTCATTAATTATTCTGGCCGCCTTGCATTCAAACAATTTCTCCCCAGCAAGCGTGCCAGATATGGGGTCAAGATGTAGAAGACCTGTGAGAAGGCAACAGGCTATACTTATAAGTTTTGGATTTATGAGGGAAAAGATAGTCACGTGGAGCCCGCCCAGATGCCCAGACTACATGGGGAGCAGTGGCAAGATAGTTTGGGACTTGGTGTCATCCTTTTTTCATATGGGGTACCACTTATACGTGGACAATGTTTAATCAAGCGTGCCACTATTTAGACATTTGTTCAATCTTGGAACTGGCACTTGTGGCAAAGTGTGACCTAATGTGTGCTCACCATTAGAAGTGGGTGGATGCAGGGCGGTATATTCTAATGGTGGGCATACCACACACTTTTTCTGGCAGAGATTTCTTCTCTTTTTTCATTCAGCCCACAGGCTGCACACAAAAAAAAGAACATAGTATACAGTGGGGATCGAAAGTTTGGGCACCCCAGCTAAAAATTTGTATTAATGTGCATAAAGAAGCCAAGGAAAGATGGAAAAATCTCCAAAAGGCATCAAATTACAGATTAGACATTCTTATAATATGTCAACAAAAGTTAGATTTTATTTCCATCATTTACACTTTCAAAATAACCAAAAACAAAAAAATGGCGTCTGCAAAAGTTTGGGCACCCTGCAGAGTTAATATCTTGTACTGCCCCCTTTGGCAAGTATCACAGCTTGTAAACGCTTTTTGTAGCCAGCCAAGAGTCTTTCAATTCTTGTTTGAGGTATCTTTGCCCATTCTTCCTTACAAAAGTCTTCCAGTTCTTTGAGATTTCTGGGCTGTCTGTCACGCACTGCTCTTTTAAGGTCTATCCATAGATTTTCAATTATGTTGAGATCAGGAGATTGTGAAGGCCATGGCAAAACCTTCAGTTTACGCCTCTTGATGTAATCCCCCATGGATTTCGAGGTGTGTTTTAGGATCATTATCCATTTGTAGAAGCCATCCTCTCTTTAACTTCAGCTTTTTCACAGATGGCATCAAGTTACCATCCAAAATTTGCTGAAATTTTATTGAATCCATTTTTCCTTCTACTCGTGAGATGTTCCCTGTACCACTGGCTGCAACACAACCCCAAAGCATGATTGATCCAACCCCATGCTTAACAGTTGGACAGAGGTTCTTTTCATTAAATTCTGTGCCCCTTCTTCTCCAAACGTACCTTTGCTCATTCCGGCCAAAAAGTTCAATTTTAACCTCATCGGTCCACAGAACTTGTTTCCAAAATGCATCA